GAGCGGGTGGGAGGCTGCGGCCATGGCGGGGTTCGGGGGCCCCAGCGTCCCCGGCCCCCCAGCGGCCCTCTGGAAACGTCACATCATGCGGCAGCTGCAGCAGCGGGACCGCACGCAAAAGGCTCTTTTCCAGGAGCTGGTGCCGGCCTGTGAGTGCGCCCTGGGGGCTTCGAAGGTGGTGTGGAGGAGGAGACTGGGCTCCTGGCGCGGGGCATGGGTTTGTTTTGCTGCTCTGCTCAAGTGCCCTAACGCCTTCTCGCTTCCGAGGCCCTGTGCCTTGAGGCTCGAATGTGTCCGCTACTCCCCACTTCCTAGAGGTCTGGATTCCTCCCTATTCCAATCAGGGATCTGCTGATAACTCCCTCCTGGACGGAGCGACCCCTCCTGGTATCTATCCCTCAAGGCTTGGCTCTGCCTCCCACGAGCTGACACAAGTTTGTCTCTAGTGTTGATTTGCAATTTCCTGTGCTTCCTTTCTTCGGCGATCCCCAGGGTAGATAGGGCCTGATTAGTCCATTTGGTCCCCGTGGGCCAGTGGAGGAGGGCAGGACTGTTCAGAGCAGTAACTTATTGGCAGATCCAGCGAAGTAGGAAACTCTGAATCTCAGGCTCTGCCACCCATAGGTGATCCTGGCGCAGGTTCGTGGAACACTTCTGTACCCAGGGGACCCTGCCTGAGAGGGAAGCAGGGGCCCAGATTTCTGGAAGGTGCTAGCAGAGCTCCAGGAAGTCTGACTTTCCCAGAGCTCTTTCGGGGCTTCTGGTCAGGAAGGGGTGTGACAACAGGTGTGCATATGTGTGTAGGGCCTTTGGTCACCTGAGATGTGTGGTGAGGCTGAAAGTCTAGTCTGCTTCATCACGGGGCTAATCTTGGTGTGCTCACACATTCACATCTGCTCTTATCCTGGAACATTTCTCTGAAACCTTCCAGTGAGGGCAGGTCCTTTCCCATCAGCCTGGGGAGGCCAGCTCCCACCCCCAGACAGCCTGGCTTCTGCTCTGCTCTGATAGTTATGGAACTTCCTGGTTAGAGGAGGGAATATACACACAGCCTCTCCCCAGCTGCAAATCTGAGGGCCTAGAGACTGGAGGCCTGAAATGAGACCATGAAGTTCCAGTCATCTGTTGTCTTGGGCAGTTCAAGTCCCTTGCCCCTAAGTTTCAGGTTTCTTATTGGTGAATAAACACAATGGGGCCTTCTTTGGATTTATTGGGCAGTGGGGAGCCGTGCAGTGCCCTGGGGGCTGAGGTGAGGTTTTGTGTGAGGCTTAGGTCAGTCTGAGGGATCTTAGTCAAGGTGAAGCCTGGGCACTGGGTGAAGGAAGGCAGCTGAGGAACCTGGGCTTACCACCGTCAGCCTAGAAAAGGGGAAGAGACTCTGGATGGGGTGGGTGTGTGTCCCAAGGTCAAACCACCAACCTAAGAATGTCTGTGGGATAATTGCTTAAGGACTTTTGCCCTGGGGCTACTTTACACCTACTCTGAGGAACTTAGGATCACTTTAGTGGAAGTTAGAGCCCTTGGAGGGGAAGTGACTAGGGGAAAGGCCAGATGCCGGTGAAGCTTTTTGTTTCAATTAGCTGTGGAGCCAAGCCCTGCTTAGGGTGGGTACTGCCATTCCTATCCTGCCCTGGGAGAGTGGTCCTCTTTTCCTGGGTGGTCCTGGCATGGTGGGAGCTGTGAGGAGGGCCAGTGTTGTGAGGAGGCTTGTGCCAGGGGGAAAGAGCTGCACAAATACCCCTCAAGGCAAGGGGCAGAGCACAGTCCCAGGTAGCTTCCCCATTCCCAGCCTGGCCATATCCCTCCTAACCAGGGGCAGTTTGTATGCCAGTAGTCTCCTGGGGAGTGTCTGCCTGTGCCCCAGGCTCACCCTCTTGCACCCAGATAACCATCTCCTAGAGAAGGCTGAGCTGCTGGCCACATTCTCAGAGAAGTTGCGGCTGGAGCCCAGCAATGTCACTTCTGCTGCGGATGACGAGGGCTCCTGGTGAGTATATGTAATGGGTTGTCAGTACCTGGTCCTGCCCCCACCGTGGTTCATTCTCTCCCTGGTGCCTCATCCCCACCCCGCTCCTGCATGATTGGGTGAGCCCTTGACCCCAGCGCTATCCCAGCTGCTTATAATTTGCTTTCTCTCTACCCATCTCTCTGCATTTGCTTGTCTCCTTCCCTACCCAGCCCGGCACTCCTGCCCTTCTCAGTCTTTTTTTATCTTCTTGTTCCTTACACAATGTCTACAGAAAGGGTTGCACTCTGAATTCCAAAGAGGGAGTGGAGACAAGAGCCAGGGATGGTAGGTGCTTCTTGAGAAGGGTCCTTACCAGGAAACCCAAGGCTTGGACAGTCCCAGAGCACAAGAGTCACAGAAGCTCATTTTTGAGACTTGCTTTTTCCTTGACTGCTTGCTGCCCTCCACCTTCCCCTGGAGAATGTTAATGGCTTTTATTTCAGGCTTTTCACCGGGCACCCCCTGGGGGCCTTTGGGCCCTGGGGTGAGTGGAGAGCTCAGGTCACAAGCACCACTCTTTGATTGGTTGGCAGGGAGGAGGAGTCTCGGCCTGACTCAGACCAGGTCCCATCACCAGCCTCTTTGAAGGTGAAGTGGCAGGAGGAAGAGGAGGGGCTTCGGCTGGTCTGTGGTGAGGTAAGCTGGGTAGGGATGCAGCAAGGGGACAGGGCCGGGATCCAGAACTTTGCAGCAGGGAGATAAAGTTTTCCAAAGGTGCCCGTGAGTGTACAGCACTTTCTGTGTTTGCCACATTTCTCGAATCCAGTGCTGCAAGAACAAGCCCCAGTGTGTATCAGACGCTGACTGAAGTGGGTTATGGGTCAGAGAGGCATCTCAGGATGAAGTGGGCTTCAACAGTGGCTGGGGGGAGATAAGATCTCAGAGTAGCAAGTGGTGTGCAGGGGCCTGGCAGTCTGTCCTCCCTTCCAGGCGGTTTAGTTTGCTCTGCTCACTCCTGCATTCACCTGCCCACTCATCCCTTGCTGAGACAACCTCTGGGCCCAGCATCACATGATGCTTAATAATACATATGTGCAGGCTAACTGGCCAAGGGTGATGTCCTCCACGGCAGCATGTGGTACTTCCGCTCAACATGACTGCCTGTCCTGTCCCCGCAGTGCTGTCTCTTGGCTTCTGTTTCACCCTAACCCCTCCGTTCTGTGCCCCCTCCCCCGTACTGGGGATTGAACTCACTGAGTTCAATCCCCAGCTCTGTGTCTCTTGCTTCTGAGCTTCCTTCTCTGGCTCCTTTCCCTCCTCACTGCCTCCATTCCTTTAAATGTGAGTGTTCTTGGAGCTTGAGTGGGCTCACTGGCCAGCATTTGCTGACTCCCAGACTTATGTCCAGCTAAGCCTTCTCTTCTGATCTCTGGACTCTCTTGCTCAGCTGCTTTTTTGACATCACCCCTACAATTACTATCTTCACCATAGCATGGTCAACATCACATTGAGAGTTGACTCCCTGCAAGAACTGGGCTGCAGATCATCTCGGTTAATCCTCCAAAACTTCATAGTTGCAGAGGAGGAAACTGAGTCTTAAAGAGGTGCAGCTGAGGTTTGAACTTCCATTCCATTGTGGTTTCCATTCATTCTTTCAAAAAATATTTACTAACAGTTGGTTCAAACAAGAGACAGGGAGTGCAGCCACAAAGAAGACCTAGCCCTGTGGGGTTTCCAAAGGAGGAGACTGAAGGGCGGTGTTTACAGCATGCCAGGTGTCCTGCCCAGTGCAATTGTGGAAATGGGCTAGGAACACATTTGATTGCCACTTCCCCCAGAGCTGCTATTGTGATTGCAACTTATAATGGTGTGACATTATCACATGTGTAAATTGTGTAACCATCAGAAGGATACAGCAATATTTTAATTACCACAAGAACTTTTTTTTTGGTACCGGGGATCGAACTTGGGCCCTTGTGTTTGCGAGGCAGGTGGCAGAACCACTGAGCCAAATCCCTGGCCCTCCACAAGATCTTTTTTGCTACCCCTTTTTAGTAAGTCTAACCTCCCTCCTCCCAACCATCCCTAACTAGTGGCAACTACTAATCCATTTTGTACTTCTATCATTTGAATTTTGACAAGATTCAAACAACCAAATAAATTGAATGGTATCAATGCAAATGGCAGGAGAGGAAATGAGATGGTGATTGGATTGCTCAATGGTGAAAAGAATGTGTCTGCAGCTGGGCTTGCTAGAAAAGTAAGTGCCCTACCCTGTGTGTGCACAGTCCCTCCCCAGGCCCCTCACACAGGGAGTCGTGTTAGTGTCACGGCCGTAAACAGCCTCAATCTGTCTTACTAGGTCCCAGTGAGAAAATACCAGGATCAGGTTAACAACAAAAGCCTCCCAGCTCAGTTATTTACCTGTGCTTAGAGTCTGTGGCCCTCATGTTCCTCTTGCTATACCGGTGGGCCCTGCCTTCCCTGGGGTCTGTCTTTCCCACTGACTCTCAGCACCAGAAGGAGGGGAAAGGACTTCTTCGTTTTGGCCTCCCTGGCTCTCGGCTCTCCTTTGAAGGATTGCTGAGTAAGGCAGGGGTACAGATGAGATGACCCTCACCCCACTTCTGGGAGCTAGGCAACTCCAGCATTCATTCTGGGCCTTGTACTCCCACATACTGGTCCTCTTTCTAGCCTTGCATGCCTCTGCTCTCCAGTACCTGTGCACTGGGACAAGTCACTTAACCTGTCTGTGTCCGTGTCCTCATCAGTAAAATGAAGATTGTAGTGCTTATGTTATGGTGTGATTATGGAGATTAAGAGTTAATATGTGTAGAATGCTTAGAATAAGGCATGGCACATGTAAGTGCTAAGATAAACTTTTTTTTAATGTTATGGTCTTTGCTTCATTTTTAAAAAACACTTGGTTTCTAATAAATGTTTGAGAGAACATTTGTTATTTGAACTTCCAATAAAATTTGGTGTTACCCTATGAGGTAAGCACTATCATTCTCATTTTATAAGTAGGGAAAAAGAAGCTGGGTGTCATGGTGCATGCCTGTAATCCCAGCACTCAGGAGGCTGAGGCAGGAGGATAGCTGTGAATTCGATACCAGCCTGGGCTACATATTGAGTTAGTTCCAGGTCAGTCTCAACTACATAGTAAGACCCTGTCTCAAAAAACCACACACACACACACACAGACGTCCTCTTGACAAGGAATTTAAATGACTATCCCCATGTGTGTTTTGTGGTACTGAGGATTGAACCTAGGGCCTTTGCACTGAGCTACATCCTCAGCCCCCACTTTTTTTTTTTTTGGTACTGGGGATTGAACTTGGAACCTTGCACTTGTGAGGCAGGTGGCAGAACCACTGAGCCACATCTCCAGCCCTTTTTATTACTTTAATTTTGAGATCTTACAAAGTTACTAAGTTGCCCAGGCTAGGCTCGAACTTGCAATCCTACTTCAACCCCGCCAGGTTGCTGCGATTACAGGGGTGAGCTACCATGCTGGCTGGCTACAGCAGTGCATTCTTATGGCAGATCTTAAACCTCACTGAGCTTCAGGTTTCTTGTCAGGAAGAGGGTAGGCATGTGAGGTAGCAGACTCCTCAGCCCAGAAGGACTGGAGAGCCTGGTGTGAGACCTACAGAGGCACCCATGCCCTCACCTTCACCTCCAAGATAGCCTACCAGGTGGTGGAGAAGAGCGCAGCTCTGGGCACCCAGCAGTTGCTGTTGGAGGAACGGCAAGGCAGGTGAGGCACCGGAGGGACCGCACCCATCTTTGGGAGGCTCCAGACCATCCTTGCAGGAGGTGGTAGGGGGAGGATGACGTGGGCGCAGAGGTTTCCCCAGGTCATTAAACGGCCCTCTGGCCTGAAACTGAGATCAGAGGACACACGGAGGGGCTCTGGAGGCGTGGCTTGGTTGAAGATGTAGTTAGCCCTCTGGGGTCCCACAGGACCTTGACCCACCCACAGGCTACCCTTCCGCCCTGCAGGCTGGCGGCTCTGGAGGGTCGAGTGGCACAGCTGCAAGAGGCGCGGGCAAAGCAGGCCCAGCAGGTGGAAGAGCAGCGGGCGCAGAATGTGACGAAGCGGGCAGCCTACGAGGTCCTGCGTGTGCGCACCGGGGAGCAGGAGGCGGAACTGCGCAGGCTCCAGGAGGAGGCCAGCCACCTGCTGCAGCGGCTAGTGCAACTCAAGGCGCGAGCTGCGGCCGAGCGCAACCTGCGTCTGGAGCGCCGGCAGCGGTGAGTGCAGGGAGACCTACCCTCTTTGGGGTAGATCCACCCTTTCTGGGTAGTAAGCACCGCCCCTCTGGACATGCCCCGCCCACAAGGGAGGGGTCTGGCCTCGCCCAGGGAGGAGCTCTTCACAGCGTGAAGGCGGGGCGTCTCTTCCCTGCTTCAGTAGCAAACTAGGTAGTCCTGACTTTGGGAGGCTTTTCTCTCCCCAGCGCCAGTCAGGCTCAGGTGTCTCAGGAGCTGAAGAAGGCTGCCAAGCGGACTGTGAGCATCAGCGAGTAAGAGTCGGGGAGAGGCCGGGTTTGACCTTTGTATTTGAGGCACTGCCTGTTGTCTGGCCTCTGCCCACATTTATCCTTGTGCCTTGACCCCCCACCCACCTGCACCTGGGGACTCGTACACTACCTGTGCACGGTTGCAGTTCCGGGGTCCACACGTGACGTGCCTGCCACTCATACTCCCACACAGACCCCTCATCTCCACTTTGTCCAGTGCTGGGGCGGGGAGGGGCTGGCCTGGACCCTTGGCCTTCCTGATTTTCACTCCTCTCCTAGGATCCCAGACTTCCTAGGCAAAGCGATCAGGGAGGGCACAGAGACACTGGCCCTGGCTGCTGAGCCAGGCTCCCTGGAGAGTAAGGCTTGTGAGAGGTGGAAGAGGCCCTTCAGGTGAGGATCCAAGTAGCTGTCTTGGAGTGCTGAGCTGGGCTCCACTAGAGGCTGTTTTACTCTGGCCTTGGGGTTGGGGAGAGACTGAGTACAGTCAGGGCTGGTTTGACCTCCAGGGCCTGGAGCCGGTCGGGATTTGTGTCACTGAACACACACCTCAGCCCTCAGTGGGAGCACAGGACCAGCTCTTGGGGTGGGGTGTAAGGCTTGTGAAGGGAATCACCAGGAGGGGACTTTGGGCAAGGCTCAGGGCTCAGCTGTCCCAGCCACATGTATTGTAAGCACAGGTGTGCCTGTGTGTGTGCATGCCAGGACTTGGTGAGCACCCCTGATGATGAACATCCGAGCATGTGTAAGTATGGGCCCACACTGCTGAGATTTGATGAGGCTTTCATCCTTGGGTGCCCCTCTGCCCAATCTCCTCAAGTCCTGATTTGCCTGCCATTGAGGCTGCCCCCTTCTGGCCCCATCTCCCAGTCTGGAGTATTTTCTTTCTTTTTTTTTTTTTTTTT